GGTTTGTCTCATGTTTCCTTGTAATTATGCTCAGGCTAAATTTTTTGCGTGAGAGTGCAGGTAGGTGATTTCATATCATTGGTGCCTCACATCAGGAGACGTATGATGTTAAACTTATAATTATTGGTGATGTTGCATTAAATCTACTGATTAAAGTGATAACAGCAAGCTTTCTCCATTGCCCAAAGGTCCCTTTTCCCTTTGTAATTAATAAGTAATCTGTAAGGTGGCTGTTTGAGTTTTCTAAGTATAGGCCATGCTCATAGTCACAGTACAATGATCCACATCAGGAAATTTAACACTGACACCATACTGTTATCACCTTCCACTACTCGAGATTATATTTGCCCTACTTACCTCTGTAGACTTTTGACTTGCCTTATGTGTAACTCTTACAGTTGTAACCAGAGTTAGTTTTCTTTAGTCCACAAGGACTTTTGAGGAAACAAGCCCTTTTCTTGTTTACCTCACTGAATAGATTACTTGTTCTTTCTGATGGCTGCCTTAAATGGAGGAACCAAAGAAAATAACACGTTGCCTCGCTTTAGTAGAGCACACTGTCCCTTTGTATCACATATAAGGGCTGCCTGAATAACTCCTACCCAAGCATATTTCTGTGTGCAAAGTTAAATTCGTAAGGAACAAATTCTGAATCTTCGCTGAGAAGCACTTATCAGAGAGGTCATCTAAAATATGTAGCGTATGCCAAAAAAAAAACACAAAAAACTTTATTCTTTTGCATTTCTTCTAGCTAGTTTTAATTGACTAGGTACCTGAGATTTGGGATACCTGCTTCCCAAATTGCAGGGGATTTAAATAATCACAGTTTCGTGCTCCATGTTCATACCAGTAAAACCAAACAGTGTTCCAGCTCTCATTTCTTTCCTTTTCTTGTTTAAATTATTGAGTGCTTACCATGTTCAAAGTATTTTAAATACAATGCTTCATTTTATACACCCACCTCAAGAGATAAGAACTGGGTAACTGGGGCTTAACGAGATTGAGTAACTTGCCCACAGTCACACGGCTGGGAGTAGTAGAGCTGTATTTTGAACCCAGAACTCTGAACTCTTAACCATAGTGACTTTGCAGTTTTATTATTATTATTCTAGGCTAGTATTTAGGCAGTTAAAAATTTAAGAGTCTTAATGAAATACTAGCTAGAGATTTTTCTTTCTTCCTGCTTATTTCCAAATTTGGACACATCAGACAACTACATCTAAGCTATCATAATTTTAGAAAGAATCCCTCTATGGTCCGTTTTATCATAGATATAAAATTCTCTTTGGTAAATAATTTAGTTGAGACTGTGTCTGAAGTTAGGTAATACTTTGGCCCAACTCAAGTGCTGGAGAGAACAGACCTTGCTACTGACACAGTAGGAATCTTCAAATACATGTCACGATTTCTGTTTTGCGATTGAACACTCCCTTCCTTTTATCTCTTACAAAATGGGAGTACAGTGCCTTAGGAGGTATGCGGAGAGTATCTAATTAAGAGTGTTTTCGAACGTATGAAAAATAATGCAAGAAAGAATGACTATCTTGTTAAAAGACTATTTTACTAATTACAAATTTCTAAATCATTTTAATGGATAAAGATTAAAGTACTTTAAAATTATTATTAATATTTGGTAAGGATTGGAAACCCCACTAGTTTGAAAAAAGAAAAGAAAAAACCATTACCAAGTCATTTCCACTCATGGCAAGCCCACATGGGTCAGAGTAGAATCGTGCCCCATAGGGTTTGCAATGGCTGATTTTTTCGGAAGTAGCACATCAGGCCTTTCTTCCGAGGTGACTCTGTGTGGACTCGAACCTCCAACCTTTTGGTTAGTAGCCAAGTGCGTTTAATGTTTGCAACATCCAGAGACACCGAAGGACAAATAGCAGTACCTACTGTGTGTCAGGTGTTTGTATATTACCTTATTTATTCCTCCCTGAATGTTACAGAGGGAGGGGAAGGGATGTTGTCTTCCATACATCATTGTTGAAAAAAAGAAACTCAGAAGGCTTAGTGATTTGTTTAAGATCACACAGATCTTAAAAGTGCCAGATATGACCTTTTTAAGTTCATAGCTAGTATCCTTTATAGAGGACAGACATTTTTTTGCCCCCAGAAATTAAGTGCGGCTAGGACATTAGAGATAGAGGTTGAGGAGACATATGCTTTATCTAAGCTCTTGAAGACAATGGAGGCTCCCTCCTATCATTATGTAGAAGGCTCAATTCCTTACTGCTCCTTCTCTTGCCCCCCACCCCACCACTGCCTACATAATAACCACGCTGAACTTTTATAAAAGTAGTATCCCCCCTACGTAAAACTCTTTTAACATGAACACATACTTACTACACACATACATGAAATCCTGTGAGACCTCACAGATCTGTCCCTGCCTGTCTCTCAGACAGGGCCACAGAGCACACAATTCCAGGGTGCAGCATTCAAATAAAAATGTAAAAGTAGCACCCTTCCAAAGCACTGTAGTTGTACCATCTCTAACTTCATCTCTTACTATTTGCCCTTTTACTCCAAAACACCAAACTTCTTTCTGCTTAAAGCCTTTTACTTGCTTTTCCCTTTACCTGGAATGTTCTTCCCTAGACTTTCATGGGGTTAGTCCGTCCTTGTCGTTCAGGTCTTTCCACAAGTGTCACACCTTTTCGGGCAGGCCTTCCTAACTACTCGATGTAAAGTACACTTCCTTCCCAGTAACCTTCACATCACCCTATTTTATGGTCTTCTCTTTTATAGTCTTCTGGTGGCACAGTGATTTAGAGCTTGGCTACTAACCAAGAGGTCTGCAGTTTGAATCCACCAGCAGCTCCTTGGAAACCCTATGGGTCAGCTCTACTCTGTCCTATAGGGTTGCTATGAGTCATAATCGACTTGATGGCAATGGGTTTTTTAGCACTTCCACCATCTGAAATCATATTAATCTGTTTACTTATTCTCGATATATCCCATGAGAGCAGGGGCTTTGGTGAATTTGTTCATTACTGTATTCCTGACTAGTAGAATGATGCTTGGCGTATTGAATAATAAATATATACTAAATGACTACTTCTACTAGTCTAATGAGTCAGAATCAACTCGCCGCCACCCAACAACAGCTAATCTAATAAACTGCACCTATATTTTGTGGAATTGGATCATAGCTTTTGCTTTAGCCTGGCTGCCACCCCACTACCAATCACAGTCTCTGCATTTTAACAACCAGGAGAAGGGTCTGAATGTTGACATCATCATGTTGTAGTTGTGCAAAAACTCTATGCCCGGTTATCATAAACCCTTAGGGTCTATGTCTGTCTTTGGACTGAGTGTCTGTCCTTGGTTCAGTCAACTGTAGCTGCCTTCTTGTGGTATGAACACAGCATAAGAAGTCTTGTCAGAGGGGTGTTGTAATTACGGACACGTTGCAAAGTAGTTTTTGCAGTGGAGGACTTGGCATGAAAGTAGGACTTAAGTAGGAATTTAGCATTTGTACAAGAATAGACAGATGAATAGAACAAACTAAAGGCCCAGAAACATGCCCAAATTGTATTTAATAATAAGGTAGAAGTGGCATTTCGGGGGTAGGGGAGAACTATTGATGACGTGGTGCTTGGCCATTTAATGAATCATTTGGAAAATGTTATCCTTTCCTCCCATAAAATTCCATGCAGATTAAACACTTCAATATATAAATGCAGCCAGCAACTATCAAGGCACAGGTGGCAGTAATTTATTAGCTAAGAGGAACTACAGGCAAAACATTATGGCTGCATCTAGCCCACACAGGACTTCAAACTAAAAGACGATTTAGTAATATGTTCAACAAGGGTTTGACAATGATATTTTCGGCTTCTAACTGACTTGCTCCTTAATAAAATTACTGACTTTGCTGTTTCAGACCATTTAAAATATACATACAGCTTAAACAAAATAAACATATAATGAATTCAAAAGCTATAAAATTTGTGAATTCTGAGGGAGATTTATTTAAACCAAACAGCAAGCATTAGTACTTAGCCACACATCTGCTTGTATCCTCTACACTGGAGACTCTTCATTGGTGCAGATGCAGCTAAATTCAGCACTCCATTTTTTTTTTTTTTTTTTAAGAGTATTGGCTCTCTTCCTTCCTTACCAGCTGAGTGTGCATTTCTCAGCCAATTCTCTACACCCACTGAAACAAAAAGACAGGATCTGAGATCCTGTGACTGTGACATCCTATTCCACTAAGCCTTAAATTGTTTTGCCTTGTTGACTTCATCCCCACACATGTGATGCTACTAAAATAAGAATGCTATTCCTAGCACTTAGTACCTTGACAGTATGCTATGGCTATTATTAAGTTATACTGTTTTAATTTAGGACTTAAAAAAACACAAATGAGGATATTGTGCGGTCTTGTCAGAAGCTGCAAAGGAATAAAACAGCTTTAAAGGCATCAAAACATGTTTAAATAAAAATAGATAACATTCTAATACCAGTATTTGGTAAAAATGGAAATGAGAAAATTTTTACTATGTAATAGCAAACTCACAAAATAATCCTTTCATAAGTTTGCATTTAACTCAGTTGCTTAGGACCAAGAACACGTTCAGTCAGAGAGAGACTTCAGGCTCAGAGAAGCCCTCACAAGCAAGCCTGTTGTAGCTGTCTTCTGAAGTCCAGCCAGCCACTCAACTTCTTGAGTCAGGGACTGTGCTCATTTGTCATCCTCCTACAGGGAGCAGGACCTGCCTTAGCTAGCTTGTTGAAGTAGGTCAAGGTTTCTCATTGGCCCTGTCAACTTTCTTTCTGCTTCTTTGCTTTCTGTGGCCACTGTCTTCCTAATGCTCCACATTCTACCCCAGGCTACTGTACCTTATCCTTCCAAGTGCTTCCTGAACCCCAGTTACCTACCTTTCTTCCCCAGTTGATCATAATATTGTCCTTGGAAGAGGTATTTGACCTTCAAGTGTGCTCAAATGCTGATACTATATTCTAGCCTAGTCCAGTCTATTCTGCTGATTATTTTGTTAGCAGCCCTAAAAACAGTAAATGTAAGACTCTAGTTATGAGGGATAACCATTTTTTAAAAGAGTGGTAAGTCGAGGACTTCTATAATACATAACTCAGTTTCAAAGCTGGAAGGTTGATTAGATGGATCTCTATTGACACCTCCCCCCACCGCCATTTTTATAAACAGAAGAGATCAAGGACTTGCAGAAGTACATATGATTACCCAAAGGAAGGATCCAGGGTTTTGGTTTTCCCTCCCACTATTAATGTTCGGAGCCCTGGTGGCACAGTGGTTAGGAACTTGGCTGCTAACCAAAGAGTTGGCAGTTTGAATCCACCAAGCTCTCCTTGGAAACCCCATGGGGCAGTTTTACTCTGTCCTGTAGGGTTGCTATGAGTCGGAATTGACTCGATGGCAATCGGTTCGGTTTGGTTTGGTTTATTCATGTTAGAGATTCAGACAACATAAAAATTATGATACTAGATAAAGATTAAATAGTGGATTTATTTGGATAGTGTTTTATTTTTGGTGGGGAACAGAGAATGACAGTTGGAATATAAAACAAGAGAACACTAGGATTATACAAGTGTTAGAGGCACAAGTCCAGGTTGGTTGTACATGGAAACTCTACCAGTCTTGGCCCCATCTGTCCCTGAGACTCTCCTGCTCAAGATAAAGATATTTGGGTTTGTACAGTGCCAAGCTGAGGATTGCAAGCTTCAACCAGGGATCCAATTTCTACTCTAAACTGAATTCAAACTCTTGGTGGTTTAAGCCAAATCTCTTCTCTCAGACCCGCTCCAAACCAGGGGTGACCTTAAGGATGGACACACTTCCCAAGGTTGTTTCTTGGCCTGTGTGAGTTTCTTTCTTCAACCCTCCCCCATTAATGTGAAGACTTGTTCACCATGTGGCTGCTGTTGAACCAAGTTGGTTTCATAAAGAATCTTTAAGTCTACTTATTCTTAAAGCATAGTGTGTATCATCCTAATTGAGTTCTATTGAGTAGTAGAACATGAAATTCTGAAAAATCGGTGTCTTAAATATTAACAGGTCATTACTGAAGATGTATAGGGTGAAATTGTCAAAAGAGCACACTGGGCTTCCATGTGAAAACTCTCAAGGTTTTTAGACATTCAATGCTTAGCCAATTAAAAAGGATTCTTTGAAATCGATTGTGAGCAAATGGATTGGGAGCAGAGGCATCCTAGATGGTTTAGTACTAACACCCATTTTTGTGTTTATAGTCTCTGGCTGATGAACTTGCCCTTGTGGATGTTTTGGAAGATAAACTCAAAGGAGAAATGATGGATCTGCAACATGGGAGCTTATTTCTTCAGACACCTAAAATCGTAGCAGATAAAGGTAGATTCGCTTTGTGCCCAAAGCAATTTAAGATTAAATTGATTTATTTAATGTTAAAAAAAAGTACATTTGGAATGTATTATACAGCATAATAGACTTATTTTTTAGTTGGAAAAAATTGAAATTTTGAAACAGTTATTTCAGTAACTTAGCAATAAAATGTTCATGATCTTGTTTAGTAATTTTCCTCAAAGACTACAAAATTTTCTTCTAATTGTAGAAGAATTTTTCCCATTTTATAAAGAAATTGTTTTTATTTCTATATTCTGTTTTACTTTTCTAATCTATTAAATTTACATTTCCTTGTTAATGGACAACCATTAAAAATGAGTTTGTTAGCCATAAGTGATCATTGGTGTAAGTCACTAGAAGAAAATAACGAATTCTGATTTATACTATTGTCTGGTTTATTGTAACATCTGTCTCCCAAAGACCAAGTTTCTTTCATTAATTTGTAGAGTGCCACTTTCTTTCTATTTTTCTGAAAATGTCAACATAGCAAATTGACGTTTTCATACTGGAAATATATGTAGAAAGCGATCATGTACTCCATGTTCCACAAGGCCACACCAGTTATCTTTATTTCTAAAATGAATGTTTTTCCTAAACTGAAAGCTTGGATATCTTTCTTTCTTTAAAAGATTTCTTACCTTTTAACATACTGTTACCTATATTGTAAAACCTCTAACAGGGCATACACAGACCTTCACAATTTGGACACCACCTGCATTTCCACACACCTCAACGTCCTCCTCTCCTCCCTCACTCCCTGATATAAAATTAGTCTTCCTGTCCTGGTGAGTCCAGTATTGGCAGTTTTCTTCTTTTCTTCTGTGTCCAATTCATCCTCTGGATAAACTCAAAGATCATCTGTATAACCCCCTCCCCATGTATATTCTACAATATTTGGTACATAACATTTTAGGATATTGTGTCATAATTATTTGTTTACATATATCTGAACACAGGAATGTTCTAGACTCCAAAAAATATGTGTGCAAAAGTAATTTGAGAGCCTAGAAGAATCTAAATAAGTTCCTAAATGTCTAACTGTCTTTGTTCTGGATTACCACATTTATGCAGTGGTCCTGCCACCACAGCATGGCTGTGCATAAAGATACAGAAATGTGCGCTTCCAAATTTAAAACAACCGAACAAAAAATTCTAACAATACCACTACTAATAATAGCTGTTATTATGGAATTATTAATATTCCAGGCACTGTGTGAAGCATTTTGCATGTATTATCCCATTTTGCATCATCTTCACAACAACTCTATGTGGTATAGGTACTATTATTGTTTCCATTTCATGGTGAAAAACCTGACAAAGTATTAATAACTGGGAAGAGTCCTGTAGCAATACTGTTCAATTATGTGAATCATCCAGAGCCACTGAGTAACGGATCACATCAAAGCATCATTAGTAATGTCTGTATATCTTGAAAATGACATACTTTCTCAAGAAAAAAAAAATTTTTTCCAGAAAAACTTACACTGCTCCAAGGTGAATAAGCTTCTTTAAATTATTAAGTATTGGAAATCTGAAGTTTTAGTTTCTAGCCAAGAACACTTTGTACCTTCCTTCCCTTTCATAGATTTAATTAATGTTACAAGCCTAAAAGTCACTTAAAATCACTTTCTTTGTTGGAAGGCTGACTATTGGACCTTTGGAATCCAAATCTGATCTCACTGTGGACTCACTGTTTAGGCTTCATTTCTTTACTGGCAAAGTCATTGTTCTGTAAAATCAATGACATTTCATATTCATAGTCCAGAAACATAACTCAGGGCCTTTATTTCCTTGGGTCATCCTCTGAGCCAGTTTTATGGTTGGGCTGGTTCTGTGTAGCTCAAGGACGAAAAAAAGAAGCCATAGGAGTATTGAGCTTCAAAACCTTATAATACAGACAACATAATCTTCATATAAATTTTAGAAGCTTCTTTATGTTTATGCTTCTAGAGCATATCATATAATAGGTTTTGATGAAGAGTTGCGTCTTAAAGCACTTTTTTTGCGTCTCTTCTTCAAGATTACTCTGTGACGGCCAATTCTAAGATTGTGGTGGTGACAGCAGGAGTTCGTCAGCAGGAGGGGGAGAGTCGTCTCAACCTGGTGCAGAGGAATGTTAACGTCTTCAAGTTCATTATTCCCCAGATCGTCAAGTACAGTCCTGACTGCGTCATAATCGTGGTTTCCAACCCAGGTATTGTTATCACACCCTAGGGCTCAGTTCTTCTAAGTTCAGTTTTTTTTTGGTCGAGTGTGTGTGTGTGTGCGTGTGTGTGCGCGTGCACGGTGTGTTTTGCTTGTTTGTTTTTTCTAGTATTCACTAACAGAAGCAATTCACATGTCTCCTGTGATTAGCCACAAAAGAGTGGTGTTTGCAAAACTGATGGCATGATCCCAGGCCAAATGTCCAAAAATGGGAAGAGTTTTATATAAAGCAGTTTCATGTGTTGGTTTCATCTGGGTTTGTTGCAGTCTGGCATGCATAATGAAACATTCAAGTGTGGCTTCATTGTATAGGAAACGTCTTAACATATTTGACCTACTGTTTTCTAGAAGATACATTTGAGTGTCCTTAATACTAAAATGCCTCAAAACTGAATCAGATTGAATTCGAAAAGCAGAAAGAAAGCCATTCAGCCAGCCCTGTTTTAAAGATAAAAAATAGACTGTATTGATGGACATTGATTGATTGTATGGACATGTGTTGATGTAGGTGCTAAAACAAAATGTTGTGACTTAAAAACTACTTTCCTTGCTAAATCAGTATTTGCAGAAGAAACATTAAAACATTTGATTAGAAAGAATCCTACTTTTTTTTAGCCTAGTCAGTTAAAATTCACTCGATTTCACATTTCCTTTTGCCGCCATTCCATTTGCCACCAGACTTACTGTTTACTGCTGACTGTAATAGATACATTGATAAAACAGCAAGACTGATTTCTCTGGTACTTCATATAGGGAAGCACTGTGAATAAGAGGCAGGGGAAATCCTTATTAGTTTACTGAATATTGAGAGTTGGGAGCAGGCAAGGACAGAGATTTTTTCAGTATATTCTTATCCTCTTCAGACATGGATTGGGGCCTACTAAACAGTGAAATCTTATATATAAAACTGCTTCTAAGTATGTGTGTGGCAGATAAATGGAGAACAGGAATGACACATAGCTAGCACATATTAAGTTACTCCATCCTGTGCCTAAGGCAGTTATCGCTAACTGATTATGAAACTTTCTAGGTATAGCTTCAAAATCTCAGGCTCCTGGAAGTCACTCCCATTGAATTGAAGTTGGCAAGAAAGAGTTGGTAATAATCCAGTCCAAAATGCCTTTAAACTGTCTTAGGCAGTGTCCAAGTGTGGAGGTAGAAAGTACAGATTAACTTGCATCTCCTTGCCTTCCTTGTAGCCCGTTTCTCCTTTTTACAATTAACCTGTAAGTGCCATGATCCTATCTGGACTAGCAAAAGTTTTACCTCTGTGTGGTCTCAAGCTGTGCCACACTGGAGCAAAGGCTCTGTTGGAGTGATCATTTTATGAAATAGTAGAAAATTTAAATACCCTGCATTATTACAGTAATTTACTATACAGTATCTCGTACCCAGGAAGATGTGAAGTATCTTGCCTTGATAAGGTAGTAACCAATGGCTTTTGGCTTATGATGGCAGTCATTGCAATCTTGGAATATTAGAAGTGGGAGAAACTTAAGTTATGATCCCATTCAACCCTTGTTCCCATTCATTCAACTTAAAATAAGTTAATTAATCTTATAGATTTGGTGCAAGTAATAGTGCAAACACAATACTGTATTTTTCATGTTTTAAAATTTCACTTAATATAAGGATTAAAAGTTTGTTCTTATCTCTCTCACCTCTGTTATCGCTAACTATGATCAGTTACAGTATTTATGTCTTTTAGGGAATGGGGAGATGGGAGAGGAGAAAGCCAAGGTATCCACTAATTGACATAGCAGTTGAAGACAGTTCTGATTTACTTACATGTATTATTTTTAAAATTTTTAGTGGATATTCTTACATACGTTACCTGGAAACTAAGTGGGTTACCCAAGCATCGTGTGATTGGAAGTGGTTGTAACCTGGATTCTGCTAGATTTCGCTATCTTATGGCTGAAAAACTTGGCATTCATCCCAGCAGCTGCCATGGATGGATTTTGGGAGAACATGGCGACTCAAGTGGTAAAAAAAATAGAAAATATTTACTGTGTACTTACAGTGTTGTTCATGCCTTTCTGAACTTTTGTTAGTTTTTTTATTTAATTTTTATATACTTTAGAAAAGTTAGAATAATATAATTAATTCTTGTATTCTTTTCTCATTTACTTTATCATTTATTCTTTTTTTCTCTCTCCCTCTATATCTATCTAGCTAGTTATCATTTATCTTTTTTCTTTAATCCATTTGAGCATAAATTGCAGTAATCCTGACCTTTTCTTCATAAACCCTTTAATGTGTATTTCCCAAGAACAAAGGTTTTTTTTTGCATTAAAAGCGAGTTGCTGTTGAATCGATTCCAATTTGTGGCAACCTCATGTGTCAGAGTAGAACTGTGCTCCACAGGGTTTTCAGTGGCTGATTTTTTCAGGAGTAGATTGTCAGGCCTTTCTTCTGAGGCCCCCTGGGTGGACTTGAGCCTTCAACCTTTTAGTTAGCAGCCAAGTGAGTTAATTGTTAGCACTAACCAAGGACTCCACTTTTTCAAAATCATAGTACAATTATCAAAATCAGAAAATGTAACATTGATACAATATTATCTAATTTAGAGTTCATATGCAAATGTCTATGTCACAGTAATATCTTCCATAGTCTTTTTTCCCAGGTCAGAATCCAGTCCAAGATCACATATTGCATCTAGTCATTATGTCTGTTTCATCGTCTTTAGTCTAAAACAATTCCTCAGTCTTTGTTTTTCACGATCTTGACATTTGTGAAGAGTCAGGTGAATTATTTAGTAGACTGTCCATTAATTTAGGTTTTTTGTTTTCTTATGATTAGGTTGAGCTTATCTACTTCTGACACAAATACTTCTGGCAGAGAAGTGATGCCGGGGCCGTATTCAGGGCATTATACCAAAACGCACACATGTCAGGTGTCCCGTTATTGGTGATGTTAACTGTGATTACTCAGTTTTGTGTTTGCTAGGTTAATCAGCATGCTAACCAAAAGGTTGGTGGTTCAAAACCATCTGCAGCTCCACGGGAGAAAGACGTGGCAGTCAGCTTCTGTAGAGATTTACAGCCTTGGAAACCCTATGGGGTTGCTATGAGTCGGAATTAACTCAACAGTGGGTTTTTTTGAGTATTTTGTAAGAGAGAGCTTTCCCTTCTCTCCCATTTATTTATTCATTTATTTATATATCATGTTTTATTTTATTCTATGAATATTCTGTTCCTATCATTAAAATGCTCAAATTGTCCCAGGTTTGGCCAGTGGCAGGCTCTTCAAGTGATTTCCTTTTACTCGGAATGGTACTTAGAAACCAAGATCGGGACAATGGATGTGCTCTTGCTGCTGGTGTGTCTTTGCTTCTACGCACTTTGCGTGAATAGACTTGTTATATCCATGGTATTTATTGAAGAAGCAATGAATTGGGTAACAAGAGCTCTTAAATAGCCTGTGCCACTATTCTATAATATGAAATACATCTTGCTTCAAATGAAATCTGATTTTTAATAAACCATTAATCACAACTATCAATCACTTAAGTAGTAAAAGACCACATGGTAAAGCTCCCAAATATTTTCTTTAAGAATTTAAATAAAATAGTTGGACATAAATTAGTCATTGTAAAAAGACCAACATTAAAATTATATTAAAATTCTATTTTATTTTGTAATGCTTTGTTTTGAAACTATTTTTAAATGTTTATTTTAAATTAATATTTTTCTTTTCATTTAAATTGTTTCTGTCCCAAATAATTACAGCTGAAAGCATTTATGAAGAATTCTGAGTCTATTACATGAATCTAAACATATTTATTAAACCAAAATATATTGAATAGTCTCATGATGTTAAGTTGTAATAAGTCACAACATAGTATTTATTTTACTAAATTCATTTCTGTGCTATAATATGCAAGGGACTGTTTTCTCCCTAAACGTGTAAGATGGAAATTTTCCTTTGATTTTAGTGGGAGTTTGTAATGTGATCTTAATAAAGAGTTTAGCTCTGTGTTATTAATCTTTGTCTTACAATGGTTACATGATTTATTTGTACTTTTATATAATGATGCTGATTTTTTTGACACATAGTAATATGTCAGTATTCTTCACTCAAAGGCTTGTTTTAATTTTTTTTCTGGTCAAGTTTTAATAATCTTGCGTCTCCCTCTAGAACATATTAACTGTTTTGAGCATATAAAGTTTTTAGTCAGATAGCTCCATTAGTTTAGACCCTGTTATGCCCTCTTAACAAGATGTGTGACTTCACAAGTTTTTAACTTCTCTGGGCCTCAGTTTCCTCATCTGTGAGGATAATTTATTACCTTTGTTATATGAAAAGTATTTAATACAATGTACTGCACTTTTACTGATGTACGGTAAAAGCTCAATAAATGTCAGCTACTGTAATTATATAATGACTAGAACCATAGATCTGGAAGTGACATTACATATTCTGTAGATCAAGACTTGCATTTTAATGTGGAAAAAATTGAGGCAAAAACAGGTAACTTGTTGAAGATCCTGCAGCTAGTTAGTGACATGACCACAACTAGAATCATTTCTTCTGAATCCTGTCCAATGTTCTGTTGACTTGTTACTGTGTCATTTTTTTCCAAGAATTTTTTTATATTTCCATATTATTTTGTATTGTCTCCATAATAGAGAATCGAACCATTGTCACATAGGTATGCTCCTGTAGATTTTATAGTTTTCATCAGCTTTCCAAAGGGTGTGAAAATGCCCCACTTCTCAGAACAGTAAGCCAATTCATTGGCAGAATTTGTGGACTAAAAGAAGGTTTTATTTGGACATGGACAGCTTTTCTCTTCAAAGCTGACTCTAGCCATACTAGACTTTACGCCATGCCTTTGCTCATATTTCCTAAGTCTAGAGTGTTCTCCTTCAGAGGTCCCTCAGGAACACATGCTTATTTCTCAAGACCTAGTTCAAACATCTGCTTTTGTAGCCCTTTCTGATTCTTTCCTCCCCTACATTAAGTAGGTCCTTGTTCATGTTTTATTGCACTTTCTCCATACCTCTGGGATAGCTCATGTGGCATTGCTTTAGCTCTTTCCTTGTCTGCCTCTCCCAGTGGATTCTGAACTTGTCCATGGCTCTGAGCATGTGTCATGAGAATTCATTTTGTATACCTAGATCTTCAATATATGTTTTCGGCTGAATGGCATATGTTAAGGGGAAGTAAGAGGATTGTCTTGGTTCAGCAAAGCCTCCAATTGATTTTACAGTCAATGATGAACACCACCTTTTTGCTGTTGCGCCTCTGGAGTCATTCTTGGAAGGAAATATTTGGTCTAGTGAAGGCCAGAAAAATGCACTGTGATCACATGGGGTTTCTTTTAAGAGTTAGACTGAACTTGGGGCATTAGAGGATCTAGAGATAATTAGACTATATTTGGGCCTATCCTAGAAATTTTTTTTTGTTTTTGCTCATTCTAGAAGAAAAAGGATTATACTCAGAAAAGTAAGCAGGAGGAAAGTTAGAAATTCCTCACACCAAAAGTTTAAGCTAGTCTGGAACTAGAATCCCTTGTGAGTTTCACAAACCTATATAGACACAAAGAATTTCATATTCTCTGAAATTATGACACAACAATTCTATTTTGGGTTGAAAGTGAAAAGGTCAGATATGTGGTTATTTGAAGGCAAATGTCAGCCTTTAGGGGAGCACTGCAGGCGTCACTGCTCATAACTCGCATTAGAGATTAGATCTGAAGAAAGGATTTTTTAAAATTGTGACAGAACTATCTAAAATGTCTATCTGTCTTTACAGTGGCAGTGTGGAGTGGAGTGAACGTGGCAGGGGTTTCTCTCCAGGAACTGAATCCAGAGATGGGGACAGACAATGACAGTGAAAATTGGAAGGAAGTGCATAAAATGGTGGTTGAAAGGTCAGTGGAAGAGGGCTTGATTTAAGATATTTAATTCCATCTTTACTTAGATAAAATTATAAACAATTTTCATGGCTGCCTGCTCAAATAAACTCTTGATGTAGTAAGCATGCAGCTGTTATCTTTTACAACAGACAAGACTAACTTTACTGGTCAAACTTGTTGTGACAATCTCCTAGGGAAATTAATTCTGATGTAGAGGCAACAGGAGTGAAACATGAAATTAATAAGTGAAAGTGCTTTCAGATTGTCTCATATCAATAAATAGGGTTGGTTTACCTAAAAAGGTAAACATAGACAGCTGTTAGTCTCATAATTGCCTCAAATAAATACTTTCTAATTGATTGCTGAGTGTTTATGCTGTGCTGTACTTACCTTTCCACACTCAACTAAAAATATCCTTTTTTTTTTTTTTTTGGAAGCGACCTCTTTTATCAGCAACCATTCTCTCTTTCTATAAACTTCATGCTTATCATAAAATCACATGTCATTTTAGACTAAAGAACTGTAAAAATCATGGGCTTGGACTGAAATCATGATATTGACACTTAATAACTACTGTATTTTTATGCAAATAATGTGCACCTTTTACTTTTGCTTGCCAATCACACCCTCTCCTGGCGAGGTATTTTCATAAGTGTTGCTATGCCAATTTTTTTTTTTTTACATATTGCTGTATAAAAAGTTAGCATAGCACGCTTATGAAAATACCTCATGGGGTGAGGGCGAAGTTGGCAAACAAATGTGGAAGACACGCATTATTTGTGTAAAAGTATGATATGTAGTCTTGGAGAAACCACTGAACCTTGCAGCTGAATCTCAGTTTTCCTCTTTGTAAAGTTATAGTATAATGCACTGGTTGTGAAGATTAGGTAAAGTACACACACGCATGCATACATAAATGTAGCATACTTAATCATTTGGTAAGCACTCAATAAATGCTAGTTATTATTATTTGCAGAAAATTGTTGTAATAAGACTAACTGATGTATCAAACATAGAATCATTTTATTTAGTTCCATTGTAGTGATTTGAATTTTCCAGGGATTTGACCTGCATATGGAAGAAAAGAATCTTAAACATTTGAAGTTGAAAGAACTCTTAGAATTTCAACTAACATAATCCTTTTATTTTACGAATACAAATATGTAGGCTCACCTGGGTAATGTCATTTGCCCAAGACCATCTAGTCAGTGGTAGATTAATTACCAGGCATGCTATTGCCATCACTTTGCTTTTAAGTAAGTTAGTCATAGTTTTTTAGTTTATGATGGTAAGTCCAACCTCAGAATCAAAGTCTATTTTGTCCTTGAATGTAAGGTCTTTTCTTCTTTTATTGTTTCTTGATATCATTAAAGTCTTTGGTAATGTTCATGCATATGAATCCGTGTGATTGGTTGGAAAATATACATTTTTACCACTGTGACTTTATAAATATTTACTTACAGAATAAGCTATTTAAATTTTTCACTTATATAGTGCCTACCATGTAGTACTTATGTTTTAAGCATTTTACATATATATCAACTCATTTAACACTCATAACAAACTTTTAAAGTAGATACCGTTGTTATCCCCATTTATGCATGAAGACCCTGAGGTACGGAAAGGTGAAAGAACTTGCCCAAGGTTACACAGTTAGTAAGAGCTAGAGCAGGAGTCAAATCCAGGCTGTCTGGTTTCAGTAACTGTTTAGTCTGATTTCAATTCTTTCTCTTATATACATATATACACATATATATATTTTTCCTTCTTAGTGCATATGAAGTCATCAAGCTAAAAGGATACACCAACTGGGCTATTGGATTAAGTGTGGCTGATCTGATTGAATCCATCTTGAAAAATCTATCCAGGATTCATCCAGTGTCAACCATGGTGAAGGTAAGATAAATTGATAAAAAATATAGTGTGATTTTTAGCATTGCATTCCATCAGTGGATTTACTCAAAGAAGGACTAGAGGAAGAAGAAGGAAAGAAAAGTTGAAAAATAACTAATTGTTTGGCGAATACAATAGTAACCATAGCAATTATGTTTAAATCTTTTTTTCCATTATTGTGTAGCTTAAGTATACTGAAAAACTGGCATTTTTTTAAGTAACGTTTATAAAGTCCCAATCCACGATTCTTTCTAATCTCTATCTCAGTGTTCCACACCACTTTTCCCTTTTTCCAACAGAAGTCTAAGACAAAATCACAAAACCTGTGGAGTCATCCAGTATATTTTTATAATTTTCCCTTACAGAATGTGATGAATTAAATATTCGTGCTGAATTTTGTTCAGCACATTCTCAAAATATCTGACCACTTGAAGAAGTATAATAGGGGTTCATTTCAGTTGGTGTATTAAATAGTAGATTGCCTTTGACATTGCAGCTGATGGCTTAACAAATTTAGTTTAATTCCAAAGCCATGAGATAAACACAAAATCAAAAAGGTTAAATAGAAATTGTTTATTTTTCAAACGAAATTTTATTAAAATATTGTTTAGGATAATTGATTCATTTTTCACAAGTTAATTGTAGGGTGTAAAAGTAAGGAGAGAATGCAGTAGATTAAAAGAAACTTAAGAAATATTATACACAAATGCAAAAGAGATGCATATAGAAGTATTTCAGTAAAATGACATGTCAGGTGTTTGTTTTAAAATGCAATAGCAAAATTTTAAAAAGCAAATATGGTAAAAATTGGATAATTGATGAGTCTTGAGATATATATATATAAGAATGTGTTTAGTCTTCCTACTTTTATGTATGTGTAAAATGTTTGTAATTAAAAGTTCTAAAAATTAAAGTAACTCGTGTTTAATATGCTTAAGTAATTTGATCAATTCTTTAGTTAAAATGACTTTGTGAATAAATTATAAAAACTGGTAAAGCGTTTTGGAAATTGTACTGTTTTATTTTTTAACAGCTCGTAGGTGTTAAACCAATCTTGTTTTTTAATGATCTCCATCTATTACTCCAGACTGCATAGGGTGATCACCACCTTAAATTCCCTCTTTTAATAAAGAACTTACATGAACACAAAGAGTAATGATACCTTGATACCAAACTTAAGGTTTCATGAAAAGTTGTCCATTGAGAACCACATCTGAATGCAATTTAATTTGAAGACTTACATATCACATTTCATAAAAGTCTACCTAAGCAGAGGATGCTGTGTCAATAAATACAATAAAGTATTATTTTCTTATAAGTATCCAGGTTCATCATATAGTGTATAGTTGCATGTTCGGTGTATACAGTTTAATTCAGAACGTAAGTATTGGGGAAAATATGGGCCTATGAGTGATGAAAATTAAAGAATGAGTTTATGTTTATCAAATATCCTAGAATTCTTTCTGTTCAAAGATAGGGCTTGTGACCATTCCTACCTATGGTTTCATTTCTAAATCTAAACAGCTTTTTCTGTTTCTGGCAGGGGATGTATGGCATTGAGAATGAAGTCTTCCTGAGCCTTCCCTGTATCCTGAATGCTCGGGGGTTAACCAGTGTTATCAACCAGAAGCTGAAGGATGATGAGGTTGCTCAGCTCAAGAAGAGTGCAGACACTCTGTGGGACATCCAGAAGGACCTAAAAGACCTATGACGCCTGAGCTCTATGCTGTAGAAATTTAAAAACTAATCTGAATAACTTAAGCCTTTAGTTATCATCCATGTACATGGATCACAGCTTGCTTTTCTCTTCCTAAATATGTGAATTTGGGCCCACAGGATTAAAGCCCATGCTTGGCTTAATGTTTAAAATATGAGTCCTTGAAAAATAAAATTAACTATGGTAGTGTGCTTCTGTTTCTGAGATGCCTTCTTTAATAGTTTCTGGAAGGTTTCAGTCAGCCAGCTTTCAAATAATTCTTCCCACACATCATAAATTTGCCTAAATTCCAATATCATCTACCCTCCTGCCTCCAAAGAGCACAAACATTCTTTGTCAGGATTAGTGGCATGATTTTTGTTGTTCTAAAAATATGGTTACCATTTTGAGGTTACAACTAAAGAAGAAACTAGGGCCAATGGATGGTCCTTACAAGGAAGTCCATCTTAATACTCTAAAAGGAAGAATCTCTAAAATAGAGCTTTGAAAAGTTGGAATTAACTTTCTTGAAGTTAGTTCTGTTTGATAGTGAAGGAAAATGAAAGTTGGGCTGAATTAATCCAGATCCAGGCTACTGGGAGGCATCAGAATATGGGGATTAGGAATGAAATTTAAAGTAGACTTCCTTTAACCAAAGTTTTCCTATTTACATATAATATCTAGGGGTCCCTTTAGGTAGTGCGAAAAACATGGGCTTTTATGTCACATAAAACTGGGCTTGAGTGCTAGCTCTATCTTTGATGAACTGATCTTGGATAAGTCACCTAGATGATTCTTTGTTGTGGGAGACTGCCCTGTGCATTGTAGGATGTTTAGCAGCATCCCTGGCATCTACCCACTGAATACCAGTGGCTCTTGCCTCTCCCCAAGTTGGGCCAAACAAAAATGTCTCCAGATATTGCCAAATGTCCGGTGGGTTGGGGGATCACCCATGGTTGAGAACCACTGCTTTAAAATAAGTACTCCTATCCCTATTTAAAAGTTAAGGAATCTGAGGTGCACAGAGGTCACACAACTGCTAAGTAGAAGAGCTGAGTTTCAACCCAGGCATTATAGTTTCTTAATCCCTGATTTTAAGCACAGAGTACTTACTACAGTAAATATTAGTTATTGTTACATATTTATACAGTTAGAGTTTATAAAGTAATAAAATCAAGTTTAATACCCCAGCATATTATGGGGATACTATTTGTCCCCATATTACAAGAAGGAGTACTAAGACATAGATGTTGAGTTAACTTTCTCAAGATCACATTTCCAAAATTATGCAATCAGTTGATATGAGGCTCTTATCTAGATGAAAGGAGGAAGGTTACTTTAATGTATGTATCTTGTTCATTGATCCAGTGTCTGTGTAAATACTGAATTTGCAATAAGCCAGTGGTTTGCAGGCTTGAATTTTAATGGAGCAGTTTAAAATTTTTTTAGGTATTGGCAGGGATGATAAATGGGGTGTAAGTGTGGAGGTAGGAAGGCGGGGTGGCTCAGCATAAGTACGCCAGTTTTTGATTTTGATTCTCATCATCATATAAAACAATAGACATTGTAACACCAAAAGGATAGGAAGATCATAATCTCAAATTTAAATTATTCTCCTTCACCCGCAAACTTAGCAAACTTGTATCCATACATCTTTATAAAAATAACATGCTATGCAAATTTGTTGATGCACCAAAAAAAAAAAAAAACAAACCCATTGCCATCTAGTTGAGTCCAACTGATAGCAACCCTATAGGACAGAGTAGAACTGCCCAGTAGCGTTTCCAAGGAGCAGCTGGTGGGTTTGAACTGCCAACTTTTTAGTTAGGAGCCGAGCTCTTAATCAGCTATACAATTTTATAATTGGTGATTTAGTAACTTAGTTTTTTTTCTTGATAGCAGTCTGTCAATTTGGGATCTATATTTGATGTTGTTAGGTGCCATCGACCCTATGTACAACAGAACAAAACACTGCCAGGTCCTGCACAATCCTCACAATCGTTGTTATGCTTGAGTCCATTGTTGGAGCCACTGTGTCAATCCATCTCATTAGGATCTTCTCTTTTTCGCTGATCCTCTCCACCAAGCATGATGTCCTTCTCCAGGGACTGATCCCTCCTGATAACATGCCAAAGTATGTGGGACATAGTCTCACCATCCCTGCTTCTAAGTAGAATTCAGGCTGTATTTCTTCCAAGACAGATATGTTCGTTCTTTTGGCAGTCCATGATATATTCAATATTCTTTGCCAACACCATAATTCAAAGGCGTCAATTCTTCAACCATCCTTATTCATTGTCCAGCTTTCACATGCATATGAGGCAATTGAAAACACCATGGCTTGGGTCAGGCCCACCTTAGTCTTCAAGGTGACATCTTTGCTTTTTAACACTTTAAAGAGGTCTTTTGCAGCCGATTTGCTCAATGCAATGCATCGTTTGATTTCTTGACTGCGGCTTCCATGGGTGTTGATCGTGGATCCAAGTCAAATGAAGTCCTTGAAAACTTCAATATTGTCTCCATGTATCACGTTGTTGCTGATTGGTCCAGTTGTGAGGCTTTTCCTTTTCTTTATATTGAAATGTACTCCATACTGAAGATTGTGGTCTTTGATCTTCATCAGTAAGTGCTTCAAGTTCTTTCACTTTCAGCAAGCAAGGTTGTGTCATTTGCATATCACAGGTTGTTAATGAGTCTTCCTCCAATCCTGATGCCCTGTTCTTCTTCATATAGTCCAGCTTCCCGGATTATTTGCTCAGCATACAGATTAAATAAGTATGGTGAAAAGATATAACCCTGATGTACACCTTTCTTGACTTTAAACCACGCAGTATCCCCTCGTTCTGTTGGAATTACTGCCTCTTGGTCTATGTACGGGTTCCTCATGAGCACAATTAAGTGTTCTGGAATTCCCATTCTTCAACATGTTATCCATAATTTGTATGATCCATACAGTCTAATGCCTTGGCATAGTCAATAAAATACAGGTAAACACCTTTCTGGTATTCTCTGCTTTCAGCCAGGATCCATCTGACATCAGCAATGATATCCCTCATTCTGTCTTCTTCTGAATCTGGCTTAAATTTCTGGCAGTTCCCTGTTGATGTACTGCTGCAACTACTTTTTAACTATCTTCAGCAAAATTTTACTTGCGTGTAACATTAATGATACTGTTCGGTAATTCAGGCATTATGTAGGATCACCTTTCTTTGGAACGGGCACAATATGCATCTCTTCCAATCGGTTGGCCAGGTAGCTATCTTCCAAATTTCTTGGCATAGGTGAGTGTTTCCAGTGTTTCATCCATTCGTTGAAACGTCTCAATTGGTATTCTGTCAATTCCTGGAGTCTTGTTTTTTTGCCAGTGCCTTCAGTGTGGCTTGGACTTCTTCCTTCAATACCATTGGTTCTTGATCACATGCTACCTCCTGAAATGGTTGAACCTCAATCAAGTATTTTTGGTACAGTGACTCTGTATTTCTTCCATCTTCTTTTGATGCTTCCTGAGTCATTCAATATTTTGCCCATATACCTGTATATATACCTGTTGCCATCAATTCCAACTCATAGTGACCCTATAGGACAGAGTAGAACTGCCTCATATGGTTTCCAAGGAACAAGTGGTGGATTCGAACTGTTGATCTTTTGGTTAGCAGATGATCTCTTAACCACTGTGCCACGAGGGCTCCATTTTTGTCCATAGAATCCTTCAATATTGCAACTTGAGGCTTAAATTTTTTCTTTATTTCTTTCAGCTTGAGAAATGCCTAACATGTTCTTCCTTTTTGGTTTTCTAACACCAGGTCTTTGCACATTTCATTATCATACTTTACCTTGTCTTCTTGAGCTGCCATTTGAAATCTTCTGTTCAGCTCTTTTACTTCATCATTTCTTCCTTTCAGGTTATCTACTCTATGTTCAAGACCAACTTTCGGAGTCGCTTCTGACTTTCATTTTGGTCTTTTCTTTCTTTTCTGTTTTTTTAATGATCTTTTGCTTTCTTCATGTATGATGTCCTTGATCTCATCCCACAACTTGTCTGGTCTTCGGTCATTGGTGTTCAACGTGTCAAATCTCTTCTTGAGATGGTCTCTAAATTCAGGTGGGATATACTCAAGGCCATATTTTGGCTCTTGTGGACTTGTTTTGATTTTCTTCAGCTTTAGCTTGAACTTGCATATAAGCAATTGATGATCTGTTCCACAGTTGGCCCCGGCCTTGTTCTGACTGATGATATTGAGCTTTTCCATTGTCTCTTTCCACGGATGTAGTCTATTTGATTCCTGTGTATTCCGTCCGGCGAGGTCCACATATATAGTCACTGTTCGTGTTGTTGAAAAAGGTATTTCCGATGAATATATCTCCGGTCTTGCAAAATTCTATCATGCCACATCTGGCGTTGTTTCTATCACTGAGGCCATATTTCCAACTACTGATCCTTCTTCTTTGTTTTCAACTTTCCCATTCCAATCACCAGGAATTATCAGTGCAACTTGATTGCATGTTTGATCAGTTTCAGACTTCAGAAGTTTGTGAAAATCTTCAGTTTCTTCATTTTTCACCTTAGTGGTTGGTACATAAATATGAAAAACAGTCATATCAACTGGTCTTCCTTGTAGGCATAAGGATATTATCCTGTCACTGACAGTGCTGTACTTTAGGATAGATCTTGAAATGTTTGTTTTGACTATGAATGCAATGCCATCCCTCTTTGATATGTCATTCTTGGCATAGTAGACCATATGATTGTCCGATTCAAAATGGCCAACACCAGTCCATTTCAGCCCACTAATTCCTAGGATGTTGATCTTTATGTGTTCCATTTCATTTTTGGAGACATCCAGTTTTCCTAGATTTATACTTTGTACATTCCACATTCTGATTTTTAATGGATGTTTGCAGGTGTTTCTTCTCATTTTGAGTTGTGTCACATCAGAGAGCTTTACTCCATCCATGTAATTAAGGTCGACTCTACTTTGACTTAGCAGCTCTCCCTCATTAGTGTTTTGAGTGCCTTCTAGTCTGAGGGGCTCATCTTCCAGCACTTTATTAGACAATGTTCCACTGCTATTCATAAGGTTTTCGCTGGCCAATTATTTTTAGAAATAGATTGCCAGATCCTTCTTCCTGTTCTGTCTTAGTTAGGAAGCTCCGCTGAAACCTCTTCACTGTGAGTGACCTGCTGGTATTTGAAATATCTGTGGTATAGCTT